AAAAAAAAACAGTTGTAGCAAAGGGGACCCGCCTGTCCGACACCAGAAGTGCTTTCGTGTTTCTGTTCCGTTTCATTTCGATTAATAAATATCTATGGCCAACGATATGCAAGAGCCCCCCCGCGCCCGCCCCCCGCCGCACCGCGGACACCGCTCGGGGCGCGGGGCCGGGGGTCCCGGCACCACCTCTGCATGCACCGCCCCCGGCGCCCCCCGCCCGGACTGCTCGGCCCTGTAATTACCGAGCGTCCTTCGACGGCGATTAATAAATATTCAATGTTGACTCCGCCGCCTTCGCCGCTTTCCTTCCGACCGGGGGCAGCGGCACGATCCCCCCCCCGCCCCGCGCCCCGCGCTCCCCGTCCGGCTCCGCTCCGGTTCCGCCGCTCGTTCCGCCGTTCCAGCCGTGCCCGGCGCCCGAGTGCGCGGCCCGCGGTGGGGCGGCGCTGATATAACGCGGCTCTGCCCCACGGGTGTCCCCCCCGGGACCGGGAGGCGGTGTCCCCCCCACCCCTCCACCCCCCCCCGTACCAATAAGGGCACCGGGAACCGGAGCTCGGTGCCGGCTCGGGCGTGGCACCGCTCCGCTCCCCGGGGACGGCGGCTCCGGGACCGGCCTCGTTCGTCCGAATCGGGGCTCCGCGGGACCGGAGATGGACAAACCGGAGGCTCGTTGGCGGTCGAGGTGCCCGCAGGTGGGCACGGATCCCGGTACCGCCGTTGTCGGTTCGGTTCGCGGCGCCCGGTGCGCGGAGCCACGTGTCCGGCGCGGAGCTGTCCACCGCGGTGGTGCTGAACGGGCTCCGTGCCCGTCCGCCTCCCGCTGCCAACCGCCGCCGGTCCATTTCGCGACCCCGACACCGGGACTCAGCCCCCCCCACCTCCCCCACGGGCTCCGGGCAGGGCCGCGGAGTGGGCTTTCGGCGCCGGGCCCCACATAGCCGTTGTGCGGGAGTGGATTCCTCGGGTTCTTCCGTGGAAAACACGCGTGTTGGCGGCGTGGGCCGCGTGCCCGCACCACTCGGGATTCGGGGAAAACTGGCAAGTTCGGGACCGCGGTTCTCTGGCAGCGGCCCGACGGGAAGCGAGTCCGCTCCTGCCCCAAAGAATTGGACCCGGCCCCGGCCCCGTTCCCCCAGGCGGACGAAGCCTCTTCCGACGGCTCTCGCCCGTCTTCGGGAAGGGAACGTTTTCCCCGGGGGAAAAGCCCCGGGGCGCGCCGGGCTGTGGTGCCGGGGCCGGGAGGCTCTGTGCGGTGCGGCCGGCCCGGACTTGAACGGTTCCATTTGGGCGCTGCCGTTTATATTTTAATTCCCGGGAATTCTGTTTGCCAGCGCCCAGCGACACGCGGAGATGCGGGATTTCTCCCGGCTGCTCGAGCGCGGAGCGGCCCCGCAATGCGGCCCCGCACGGAGCGCGGTGCGGAGCCCACTGCCAGCTCCCCGTGCTCGGCTCCGGTGTAAATCTCGCTCCAGCGCACGGGCGAGGTGTGAGGTTTCGTTGCACGGCTCTGGTGCAAAGCTCCGGTGCCCAGCCCTGTGCCCGTCTCCACCGGAGCGAGCCGGTAGCAGCCACCGTTCCGTGTGACCACGGGACTAAAGCCGCTCCGAGGGTCGGTGCGGGGGTCACCGGTAACCCGCACCGCACAGGACAGGAGAGCACAACGAGCGTGTTTCTGTCGTGCTCAGCTCGGGTTCCTCCGGGCAGGACGAGGATAGGGGTGACTCCCCCACCCGCCCCCTGGTCTCGATCCGACCCGTCCCGGTGCCCCCCGCCCGCCCGGCCCGACCCTTCGGAGCGCAGCGGGGGCGCGAGGGCAGCGCCAGCTCCGATCGCCGCTGCCACCGGCGAGTGCCAGCCGAGGGGGGGGGAAGGAGGAGTCATTGCTTCAGTTTAAATTTCATGGCATCTGTTCATTATTATACAGTGCGGATTTTTATATGGACAGCTAAATTAAAGACAGATTTCTGCCAAAATTGCAGATACCATAAAAAACGGATGCTGCCGGCTCTGGGAGCCCGCCGAGCTGTGGAGCCGGGACCGCCGCCGCCATCGGGTCCGCCCCGACGGCCCGAACCGCTCCCGGGTCCCCGAGGAGCCGAGGGGGGCTGCGGCGGCCCCGTCTGCGCGGGGCGGCCCCGGGTTCGCCGGTGTCCCCCGAGCGGCCGTCGGGGCGGGTCGGGCTGGCAGCGAGCCCCGGTGCACCGGGGGCTGCCGAGCCGCCCCCTCCCCCAGCGCGGCCTGCCAGGATTCATCGGCGAGGAGTTAAAACAAGGACATCTGTGCCTGGAATCGCTGCGAAGCTCCAAACCTGCCAATGCCTGCTGGCACGGCCCGCCGAGCAAATGCCTGGTACTCCGGAATGCTGCACAGCCTGGCAGCCCCGCCGGAAAAACCCGGCGCGGCTCCGTCCCGCTCGTGTCCCCTCCGTCCCCCCGGCCCCCTCCCCTCCCCCCCGTGTGTCCCCTCCCCGTATCCCCAGAAGGACTCTGCGTCCCCGTGGGAATGGGCACATAGATGTGTGACGGAGCAGAGGGAAGTGCAGACCAGCAGAGATGGGGCAGCAGCCGGGGGTCTGCAGAAGGGACCCCTCCCACCCGGCGCTCCCAGGCTTCGGGGGCAGGAAGGAGGCTCGGCCCCATGGGGGCTCAGATCCAGCAGGAGCGGGGCCAGCGCTGGCTGGGAGCAGTGAGAGCAGGTGGTGCACACCTGAGCACTCTGCACGGCCGTGGGGAGCCTTCCCTTCCCTTCCCTTCCCTTCCCTTCCCTTCCCTTCCCTTCCCTTCCCTTCCCTTCCCTTCCCATGACCCCATCTCATGCCCCATCTCCATCCCCTCAGCACCTCGAGGTGCCCCAGCTCTGGTTATCACCCCATCCCCATCCCCACCGCAGCACCCCGGCCCAGGCCCACACCCCAGCTCCCTCCCCTCACCCCCCTCTCCATGGCAGGCGGTGGCACATTTCATATGGGAAATGTCCATTTTGTTGCTACTTAAAAGCTGATTTACGGCGGCTGCATCGCAGCCCTGCCTTGGCCTGCGTTCATCCCATACTCTGCCCATTTCTCTTGGCAGCTCGGTGCAGCCGGGCTCACTGGAGATCTGCAGCGGGTGGCAGCGCCCGGCCGCTCTCCTCCTGCGTGTTCCTTGTGCTCACAGCTGGATCCCCTCTGCCTCGGTGGGTTCCTGTCAGCCAGGAGACAGAACTCCTCTCCATCCCTCTGCACACCCGGAGCGCCCCAATGCTCCCAAGGCACCGAGCTGGGGATGTGGGGACAGCCCTGCAAAGCCCCGATTCGCTCTGTCCCGGATGGGGCTGTGTGGCTGTGTGTCCATCCATGCTGCAGGACAGACGGCTACTACAGAGTGGGACAGACAGATGTCACACCTCAGACAGATGCTGATGGCCAAGGTCCCGCTGTCCCCGTGAGCTGCCCACCTGGCCCGGCCTTCCAGTGCATTCCTAATTCAATTTTGTCCAACTATAAATCCTTTTTTTTTTTTTTGGTTAAATGTAATTGAAAAACACACCTTTGGAATCATCAAATTAACCCAGCATCCTCTTTATTAGAGTAATTAAAGCCTTTCTCAAGTTAGCGCCGGGCGGATCGGCTGGATTGTGCCGTAATCCCGGCAAAGCAAACAACTTCAGAGCAAAACTAATTACATTTAGAACAGCTGTGAT